TTTTAAAATATGTTCTCTTGATAACAATAGGCCTAGCCTATTGTAGGCAACTCTGTATTGGGGAAATTTTAATGCCTAATGTTTTACAATTTTTTATGTGCTGTAAGCTATCCAGGGTGGCTGGGGAAACCTAGCCAGATGGGCGGGGTATATATAATATTATTATTATTATTATTACTATTGTTACTAAAGGGATTGTCACCTATAACTCCCAAATTCTTTAGAATGAATAGAATCCTGCTTAGAGCAAATGCAGAGGAAGTATCCATTACATCTCAAGAAGCAGATAAAACATCTTGCAATTAATATCCCTACTTCATACGACGCATATGAAGCTCTGCTATGAAAATAAAGAGATAAGAAGAGTCAGTGTCATGACCTATTGCATTGTTAACCCAGGGGTGGGGATGGGGAGGAATAAATGTTTTATCAGTCCATAAATTCGACTCAATCGTTTCTTATAGAAAGTAGTATTCTGTTGAAGAAGGCAATCTTCCTCATTGGTATGGCTTCAGAAGTTTAGATCATCCATTGAATAAGAGATAGTAGAGGTGCGAAAACACTGAAAAGTATCAGGCTGAAGATGGGTTGTTTCCCAGAAGCGTCCTGCAAAAGAACACACATATATAATTACTCTAGAATCAGTTTCTAGTATTGTGAGGTGGTGAAAAAAAATTCCCTTTCTGCATAGTTGTAGAAACCTCTTTCAGCCCTCATATTTACCCCATACAAAAAAGCCCCACAACACTTTACAGCAGTTCTATACATGATTTCTCTCAATTAGGTTCAGTGAGGCTTACTCTCAGGTCAGTAGGCTTAAGAATGCAACCTTAGCCCTTTCCTCATAGGAAAGTGCTTTAACTGCTCGGTCATTTGGGCAGTAGTGGTTTTCTGCACCTTTTTCTAGCTCTGCAATATCCTAGCACACAGTATTCCTAATGCACACATACAAGAGACTTCTATAATGGCATTATGGCACTCATCACCTTTTATTTTCAATCCCTTCCGCTAGTAATTTGCATCATAAAATATGCATGTTTCATGGCTGGCACACAATGAATTGATGTTTAAAGTGAACTACCTTTGCTGGGGAGTCACAGATCCTTTCAGTGCCTATTGGCCACAATGTGAATCCCTTGGCCCTTTCTTCCACTGAATTTTGGTGGGCATTTATTTTGTTGCCCATTCCCCAGTTTGGAGAGCTCCATTTGGAAGGTTTCGCAATCTGCTTGGATTCCCACCATCGCAAATAACTTGGTGGCATCCACAAACCCGACCACCTGACTGCGGATCGTTTATGAATAAGGCCTTGTCTGCTCATGAGGTGGTAGAATGAACTGTACCGCTTCAGAATGCCAGTGGAAGCATCATAATCGTTAAATGTTTCCCTATGTTAAAAAGCAGTAGCCCAGACATGTACTTGAAAGTGGAAATTTCAAACAGAGAAGAGGCCAGGATAAAACCTTTCTCCCTCACGTGCTAGGTTTTTGTTTTATTTGCAGTGAACTTGTGGGAAACTTCCAAAAAATGGCACGCACCACCTTCAGAACGCAGTGGTACAGTCCACTCTGCCACTGCATTATGATGACTGAGATTAAATAGCATCAGTCTCTGGATAGTTCCTGAGGATACTTCACTGTTTACCTTCCGGATAACCCATCCTTTTATCCTATGACTTAGGATCCTTTGGCTAAAGTCCAACTACAAAATGTTAACAGGACTGTAATTTTTACAAGTTACGATAAGAACCCTTTTCGGACAAAAGATATGTGCAAACTTCCATTTAAATAATAGGTAATTTTATCCCTATGCAGCTCTGATACCAGAAGTGAAGTGGAAGTGGAGAAAATACCTGGAGTGTCTCCTGCACCCTCCCTTTGAAAAACCCATTCCACATTTCTACTGTACACATACATTGGGTGGATATACAAGAGAGAGAGAAAAGGTGTCTGCTCCCTTAGACTCCAGTGCATCACTTCAAAGCATTGTTAGAAGAAGCAGCAGCAGCAGCAGCAGCCCAGATGTGGCAGTCAACCAAAAGTTCCACAAGAAGATCAATGCACATTTCTAGTCTATGCCACCGATTCAATACCATCCAATATTGTTCACAGGATTATTTGTGAACATGGCCGTTGTCATTTAACAGAAATAAGGAAGGGTGTGTGTAAATGTTCTGAAAACAGTGTACTTACAGAGTGAGGAGCCTGATTGCTTTGAAAACCCTGCAGAAGGGGGGAAATGGATGCAAATTATTTCAGCAACTCAGCCTTGGCACATTCATAGTACGTAAGTCCTCATATGGCCTCAAGGTGCAGAGGCCTTTCTGTGCGTAGCCTAGGAGCCTCTGGCTCATGATGGGACCTCCAGAGCCCGGAATTTCCCCTTTTCTTATTGAAACACAGTTCCCTCCAGATTTCTAAGATGTGGCAGATTTTTGCCAAGGAGGAATTTGGCAGCATTCCTACACAGAAGCAGGGCACTTTCTTCTGTAAGGGCATAGAAAACTGCAACCATGCAGATTGTTTAACAAAATTTACTCTTTAAGAATACACACGATCACAGACTTGCGGCACATTCCTATACTTGTTTATTTGTGAAGAAGCCTGGCTGAATTAAAAGGCCAACAACTCCCATGAAAGTGTGTTTTAGGCAGCAATTCTAAGCACACTTACTAGGAAGTAAATCCCACTGAATTCAGTCAAGCTTACTTTTGTGTAGAGATATATCGGATTAGGCAATTAGTGTTAACTTGTGAAAATATCCCAGCACATGATAATAAACCAGTTTTAGTACTGGGTCAAGTGCTTCATGATTGATTACAGTCCCGGACTATTTAGGAGCTTTGCTGATACTTTCAAAGTCATATATATACTTTTAGAAATGCTCTCCAAGCCAAGAAGAAGATTAAAAGCTAACGCAGAAAGGCTGCTTACCTTGTTGGAACCATATGGCCTACTTCCGTATGGTGAACCCTGTAAAAATGAGAAACCCATTAAATCTAGAAAACGTGCACTACTATCCAGCTGGGGTGGAGAAATCACCTACTCAGTTATGATCCTCCTTGTGAACACTGGCCACTGATTCCAACCAAGGGTACAGCACAATCCTAGAAATGTAAACTCAGAAGAAAGCTCCATTGGGTTCAATGGAGTTTACTCCTAGGTAAGCAGATACCCTCACTTCTCAGCACCAGGTTTTAAAAGTATTTAGTCACATATTTTGAAAGAGCAGGGGAAAGCCTCCTTCATAAGGATATTCAATAAACACACAAGACGTAACTGGCTGTACTTTTGAATAAATAAGGTGTATTATTCATTGTATCAAATTGTAGATTTCAACGGAAGTCTAATTCACATGAATGGTTGTTACAGTTCCACAGAATCCTTTCACAGAGTCTAAGACAAGGATTTCCATAATATTAGCCTTGTTTCACCATCCTAGGCTTCATCAGTAGAACAGGCTCATATGTAATATTACAGGATAGTAGTGGTGAATTATTGGCCTCTACGAATAGACAGGTTGAACAGATACTTATACTTGTATGGACCTTATGCATGAACTGACTAGAGAATGAACTGATCCACTGGGTCTTCTGCTTTTTTCATTGAACTTTATGAGACTTCCGTTGAAATCTACAATTTGATACAATGAATAGTATACCTTATTTATTCAAAAGTACAGCCGGTTACGTCTTGTGTGTTTATTGAGTATGTTTCACGTAACCAAAGGTTTGTTGTTGTTTACTTCATAAGGATGACATAGGCTTGAAATCCAAATGAATTAAGTGTTTTCAAACTTTCTACCCTCAGAGAACTACTGCCATGCCTACTTGTCTGCTGAGGAATATCAGTGTATCTGCCATAAAACCCTTTTGTTGCCCAGTTGCATACTCGGTTCTCATGAGGCACTGGCTAGGCCTGTTGAGTTTCACTGTAACTGGGAAAGATTAGGAGTGACGGCAGCTTTGTTTTCTTCGCTGCTATTGGAAAGAGCAGCAATCATGTTGACATCCTGCCCGCCATTTTGAATCCTCCAAACAACATGCAAGACCTAGCAGAATTCTGTGGCACTGTGAGGGGGACAGGGCAGTGGCAACAAAAAAATAGTGAGGGTATTGTAAGAAAGCTGCCTTATTTTCCTTTGAAGGTGAGAAAAAGAAAAATCTCCAAAACTTCATCAGAAAAAATGTCTTCTGATAAATTTTGACTCGGCTCTGAAAAGCATAAAGCTCATTGCCCTATCATATTGAGAGGACAAAGCAATTTAGCATGGCTCTATGATGATTTACTGAGAAGTTAGTTCTACAAAGTTTATTGGTACTTATAAATAACAAATACATTTGTTAAACAGTCCTTACATATCCACCATATTGGCTGCCTAGCCGTCCGCCACCATATTGGCTACTTCCATAGGGGTAACCCTAGAAGCAAAACAGAAATGAGAAAATAAATAATTATATATATATATATATATATATATATATATATATATAATGTAAACACTAATATTTTATTTGTTAATGCTGTAGAGAAAATTTCTGTCTTGTCCACGACCACGTTGGCTACTTTGGTTTCTACCATTTTGGTACAATCCTGTAAAGGGAAGCTCTGATTTTACCCACCACTCATGTAAAAAAGAAAAGGGGGGGGAAAACTCCATATATAGGCCAAACTAAATAAGATGTTGGAGTACTGTGACTGGAGCTCCTGTGATGGTTTCTCTTTTTGCACTGGGGGAGAGGGTATAATCCATTGCCACTGTAGAAATTTTTCAATGCAACCCCTCTCCCCCGATATTATTCAAAGCTGAAAGGGATACAGGCACAATATGGGTGCCTCTAGGTTTCAATCTCCATGACTACTAGCTGTACAAAATTGGCACACTGAAATTGGTTACCCCACAAAATAGCCCTGAACCAAATCAAGGGCTTCAAGGTTGCTTTTTGAAAAACAAAAATATGTCACGAGCTCCTAAATGTAAATTCTGTTTAAAATTGTTCCTTACTTGTCCGTATCGTCCACCACCATATTGACTGTTGCCGCCATATTGGTTTCCTTGCCAACCACCATATTGGCCGCCTTGGCTGCTGCCATACTGGCTACTTCCTGACTGAGAACCCTGTAAAACACACACACACACACACACACACGCCAGGTTTTTAATACAATTCACGTGGTTGAAGTTTATTCCTTGTCCACTATAAGGGTGGGGTCAGAAGGACAATTACTTAGAAATAATGCCATTTGTTCGTATCTTTTAAGGGTAATATAGATAGGTTTAAAATATATGCCACAACAGACTAGCCTCAAACATTTAATAACTGACACAGTACACACAAGAGATTAGGTGGGCAACCACAAATGAATTAGCTGCACTCATGCTGCAGAAAACAGGAGTTTTGGAAAGTAGTTCATTCATAAATAAACAAACACACACAAACAAATGCACCCATCTCCTATAGCTTCCAAAACATAAAAATGAATACAGCAGGCAATGGGTACTTACAGTCATTCCACCTGGACAATAACACCCAGGCTGAAAAGAAAACACAAAACACTTGTCATATTTCTTTAGCAATCTTACTAGAATGCTGTTTTTATGGAGGAATTTTGTGTGGATTAAGATTGATCAATGATTCTTTACACTTTAAAAATCACGAAACGCAACCCTGTATCGGGAATTTTTTTAATGTTTCGTGTTTTACAATTTTTTATGTGTTGCAAGCCGCCCAGAGTGACTGGGGAAACCCAGCAAGATGCGTGGGATATAAATAATAAAATTATTATTAATTATTATTATTATTATTCTGGACCCTAAAACTTCAGCTCTTAGTTCTTCCAAGATGCATTTTCCGAACATTGCTAAGGTTTCGGTTTTGATATTCTTCTTTGTATTTCATTTCTGTTGCGTTGTATACATTAGATAGCAACCCTGTTTGCACAGGGTCTGTTTTCTTAAAAATTCAGGTACATTCAGCTGGCTTAAATAGGAGGCGAAGCCGGCAGCAACCATGTGATCGGCTCTGGAGCTTCACCCACCTACCCAACCCTCCCTTTGTTTAATGCTTTTTTGCAGGTTAACCATTTTCCTTCCTGTTCAGCGGGCGCTGCTACGGTCTTTGGATGGTTGTTGTTGAAGAGCCGGGAAGGAATTTCCTTGCATTGGCAGGTTTTGCCTTCCCCGTGGCAATTCGTCACAACTTTGGCGGTTTTAGGCCTTGGGCGGAATCCTTTAGTCTATCTTTCCTAAATGGGGGGGACGGGACGTGAAGTGGTGACCTTGAGGACTATGAATGCAACCTCCCGGGCAGGACTGGAACTTAGAGGGGAGGGGTGTTATATACTGAGTTGAATAGGATCCAAAATGCAGCAGTCTGATTGGTCCTAGAACAATAGGATTCAGAATGCAGCAGTCTGATTGGTCCTATAACAATAAGATTCAGAATGCAGCAGTCTGATTGCTCCTAGAACAATAGGATCCAGAATGCAGGAGTCTGATTGGTCCACAGGAGCCACCCAATCCAGCTCCAGGTGGAAGTGAATCCGCAACCTGATTGGCCTACAGGAAAATTCCGGAATTAGCCAATGACGTGGGGCCCATTGTGTAAATAATGTATATAAAGCAGACATTCTGGGGGAACTTCCATTCCTCCTCACCACTATGAGCTGAATAAAGAGCATGAAATCCACTCTCGACTCCAAGTATATTTCACCTCTTAAAGGGGTTTGTATATGGGAGTCTCTGGCCATACACTGAAAGGTTGTCAGTGAACTCTGCATTGCAGGGTTATGGGGTGGGCTGCCAGCATACACAAGCGTCTTGCTGTGCACCCTCCCATATCCCATTCACCCTGAAAAGCCCCAGTTCCCCTGGCTGGGGGGCTGGGAGGGATACACGCCCAATGCCTAAGCCAAGGTCTTCCTACGTCTGAAAGGTTTAATAAAGTTGTGGCCAATTTTTAATCCCATAACACGTTGTCACGAGTCATTATTCCTTCTGGTGGTCTCTCAGGGACGGGGGGGGGGGTGTCTCCGCCTGGGCACGCAATGAACAAGCATGGTAACGAGAGAATGCTTACCTGTCCACCAGGCTGCCTGCCTCCGGAGTATGATGAGCTCTATATTTGCAAAAACAAACCAACAGGCTTTCATGTTCTAAACTTGTCTATCTATCACTACACAAGAGTTCACCAATAGCACCCAGTAATTACAGTATCAATTGTGTGAGGGGAAAATGCTTACCGGACTACCCTGCTGGCTTCCTGAAGGGGATGCTGAACCCTGTAATTATACAGTGAAAACACAGGTCATATATATAGCAATGGCTTTCTGCTCTTTATAAAGTATGCAGAATATGATACTAAAGCTTTATGATAAAATAAAGTGGCCATTACACAGTCAACACAGACTGAAAAAAGCCTTGATTGCGGAGGGTTAGGCTAATATGAACTGACTTTTAAGGCATTAAATGTGGAAAAGGTTTGGTAAAGGAATCAGGGGAGAACGATGATGGTCTGTGGTCCAGCGGCCCATGATTAATCGGCTTCAAATCCTGGTTAAGAAACACAGTTAAATGGAGGCTGATTGGCCTCATCCGTGGTTGACACTGGCTTTGGGATGGAGACACATGTTACAGCAACCTTGCTAAAGTTAAGCTGATCTGACCCTAGTCAGTGTCTCCATAGACCACCTGGGAGCCCTATATATGTCTGATGCCTGAATTTCACCGTGGAAAAAAGTCAATATATTTATGTAATAAATAAAATAAAGGGGATGAGAGATGCAGATGAGAGGCACATTGTGTTTACCCTCTGTTTACCCACAGAGCAGGCAAATGACAAATTGCACATCTGCTCTAAAATATTGCAGCAAATTCATAAAATATCTAAGCAAATTTATAAAATATTACAGCAAATTTATGAAATGTTAACATTTTGAGTAAACATTACCTGTCCAGACTGGCTTCCTCCTGAGGACCCCTAAAAGCAACACACAAGCAATCAATTTCTGTGCTAATATGGCAAGATACCTACTTCTCTTTGTGTGGTCCCCCCCCCCCACTCTTTCTGCATGTTAATTTCTTACCTGTCCAACAGACTGACTGCTTCCTGAAGAAGTGGAGTTCTGTAAAAGAATAGGAAGTGTTTGTTTCTATTCCTTTTAAAAAGCAACAGCCAAGCAATCTTTGGGTGGTTTAGATTTCTTTTGGAAATAAGAGAACGTCTATACCTCAATCCAGCTAGGTGCCAAATTCTTACCTTTCCACCAGGCTGACTGCCTCCTGAGGAAGAGTTGTTCTGCAAAAAATTAGGAATTGATTGTTTCTGCTCCTGGTGCTTTGCGTTACGGTTCTTCAGAAACAGGCAAATGTCTATATTCTGACCCAGCTGCATGCGTCTCTGATGCTGGATGAGAGCAGCACCAATTTGCTTTGCATCCAGAGTTCCTGTCCTATGGCTCGTGAGAAAGAGACTAGATCTACTGCCACCTGCAGTCCTTCTGAACAGCTGACTGCTCCGATTGCTGATTTTTCTGACAGCAGTACGCATGTGCAGACCTATCTAGTGTGCGATGGGGTATCTTTAAAGATATACCGCATTTTTCGCTCTATAGGACGCACCAGACCACAAGATGCACCTAGTTTTTGGAGGAGGAATACAAGAAAAAAAATATTCTGAATCTCAGAAGCCAGAACAGCAAGAGGGATTGCTGTGCAGTGAAAGCAGCAATCCCTCTTGCTGTTCTGGCTTCTGGGATAGCTGTGCAGCCTGCATTCGCTCCATAACACACACACACATTTCCCCTTACTTTTTAGGAGGGAAAAAGTGAGTCTTATAGAGCAAAAAATATGGTAAATAAGATTTCTATATGGCCTGCTTGTCCAAGTTTTGGCCAGATTCTGAGCATGCCATCCAGCGTGGGCCATTTGGGCCACATTTCCAGCTTCCATTGAAAAAATATTAGGTTGCCAGCCTTTGTAGAACCAGAGATATGAGGCAAAACCACAGGAAGATTCTGGCCAATCGTTTAGCGAGACGCCAAGTCTGTGTCTGCCTTCCATTGTCTTAGGAAGGAAGACACAGCTAGGATTGCCATACAGAGAAGCAGCGATAACCATCTTTGTTTCCCTCTTTCATAAACTGATGGCTACAAAGCAATGCAAGAAGCAATTTACGATCTCCTCCTTGTATTTGCTCTTTTTTATAATCTATCTGAAGGGAAGCTGCCCAACGTTTCCGCTTCCTAGATTTTAACAGGCTTCTAAAAATAAGTCAACTTAAGGCAAAGTATCTCATACAATCTTATGATTTCCAAGCCTAGTCCTGTATTTCCAGGGCTTGAAGAAATCCTGTGGATACCAACCCCATTCTCTCCCCTTCGTCCTAAATCAAGATTCTTCTCCCACAGACACTGAACTCCAATGCAACTTTACATTTTGGCTCCCCTAACCCAAGATTCTACTTTCCTCCATTAACTTTTTAAAAATCGGATTCTTTAATTATGAGTGACTCTTTCTTTCTTTCTTTCTTTCTTTCTTTCTTTCTTTCTTTCTCAGGGCCCTCGTATTTATGGGACCGCCTCTCCTGGTATGCCCCAAAGAGGACCTTAAGGTCCATGAATAACCATAGTTTAGAGGTCCCGGGCCCTAAGGATGTCAGACTATCCTCCACCAGGGCCAGGGCCTTCTCAGTGATGGCTCCGACCTGATGGAATGCTCTGTCCCTTGAGACTAGGGCCCTGCAGGATTTAACCTCCTTCCGCAGGGCCTGTAAGACAGAGCTATTCCGCCTGGCTTTCAATTTGAATTTAGCCTGATCTTTTATTCCCCTCTCTTCCCTCCCCCTCCCCTTTTTATGAAGATTACCTGCTCTGGGACCCCACCGCTAATTCTCCCCTGGCCTCCGCACTGGCCCAAATAGGACTAATTTAGCCAGTTAGCCCTGGTGACTATCTAATGTTTATTGGATGGATTTTCCCCCAAATTGATTTTTGAACTTTGA